GGTGGGATAAAAACCTCATCTGGTAGCACCCACTGCCTCAGCCATACCTCCTAACTGGTTTCTTGCTAGAACCTTTTCCAGGCAGTCCAACTGTGCTTACCTTCTCAAAACATTCTCCCTGTTTGACATTTGAGGAAATGCCTGGAGAACATTCAGTATTTCTTGTTTTATGTACACTGGAGCTTTTCAAGGCCTTCCCATAGCCCTTTAAAGTTCTAAAGATCCTGTTCCACAACAGCCTTGTACATGTCTTTCCCTGTGTTGATGTGTCTTTCATGGAATACCTTCCCGAGATAGGACTGTTTGCTGCCATCATGACTGCCTTTTAGGCAAAAAGATAAAACAAGTTTTATTTGCTTAGGCACTTAATATGGGAGTTCTTTAGCTGTTTCTGAAATTCCCACCTTTTCGATTTGTCATTCTATTTCTATGTATTAAAGGTAAAAGTAAAGGTTTCCCCTTGACGTGAAGTCCAGTCATGCCTGACTCTAGGGGGCGGTGCTCATCTCCGTTTCCTGGCCGAGGGAGCCAGTGTTTGTCCGCAGACAGTCTCCGTGGTCATGTGGCCGGCATGACTAAACACTGAAGTGCACGGAACGCTGTTACCTGGCCACTGAAGTGGTACCTTTTTATCTACTTGCATTTGCATGCTTTCGAACTGCAAGGTTGGCAGGAGCTGCGACGGAGCAACGGGAACTCACCCCATTGTGCAGATTCAAACTGGCGACCTTTCGATCAACCAGCCCAGCAGCACAGCCGTTTAAACCACTGCGCCACCTGCAGTCCCTTTTCTATGTATTACTATAGTTCAATTATTTATTTAAAATTTAAAACTTTTGTATGTCATCCCTTATGCATGGCATCTCAGGACGGCTTGCAATCATATTATGATTGTATTTTGGTGTTTTACTTTTTACTGCAGTTATACGCTATTGTTTAGTATTATGCTTGCCTTGAAGGGTTTTCTGCTTGGTAAAGCATGAGCCAGGGCAAAAATTGCCCATCTCATTTAGCAAAAAGAGAAACAGATTAGGTTTGTTTAAAATGTGCACTTTCATGCAGTTACAGCAACATAGTTGCCCATATGCTTTAGCCCTCTGTGTGGAAATGTTTCAGTTCTCGTTGACAAAAGGCTCATCAGGAACAATCGGGTTATAGTTTCTCTCTCTCTCTGTCTTTTGCACACACATATTGGCTAACTGAAACAGCTCTTGTTGGTCATAGCTGTTAATCACGTGCAAATTAAAGGGATGGAGTTAGTTCAGAATGGCTGCTAAGTACTAAAAGCATATGACACAATACTGATTATCTAATAATGAACTTTGATCTCTTTTGCAATTGCAGGTGTCAGCACTATGGCTTCAGCTTAAGGTAAAGCAAAATAAGCTGTGTTCAGATTGACCTGGAGAAAAACCACCCCCTTCTTTATCAGGTTATTAATGTTAATAATTACCAATACTGTATTGCCACATTTGCTATTATTTGAATGAATAACTCAAATAACAAAGCATGAGCAGACTTTAAAGAAAATCTAGTTATTATTATTTTAAGCTATTTTCCATATTCATGTATAACTTTGAATCATTCAAACTATCCCAGCTCACGTCTGGATACAATTTCACTTTGCAGTGAATTGCTGCCAAGGCAAATGGTATTGCCCAACCCAGTCTAAACCTACCCTAAGTCCCTTTATGAGTTTATTATTTAATGCTGCTGCAGAGCTCTGAAGAGATCCAAACAGGAAGCGTCTGGGTGTTTTCTGCTCATAGAGTGGGTGGGACAGAGTTCTTCAGAGAAAACAAGAATATGAGCTGCTTGGAGATCGCATTGGACCAGTTCTTCAATTTCCTCTAAGACTTTAGTTTCCTTGGATACTAAGATGATCTATTAATCAACAGTAGAATACCAGCCCTTCAGACCTGTGCTGTTTGAACTGTATTGCAGAAACTTTGCATTGTATAACCATTACTTTAGGGAGAAGGTGGAGATAGTGCACACATCCTATTTTCCTCTTTATGATATGCTTGGGCTAGCTGCAGTGACTGCGCATAAAATGGGCAGTTTGCACATGCTCTTGGGTATGAACATATCCTGTTTCTCAAGTCTAGGTCCAACAGCTGGAACTCTTGACGAAGGTTAGGCTAGCCTTGTATAGTTTTGCTATTATGATGTTTGGCCAATGTGAGCATCATCTTTGGTAGAAAGACAGGATATAAATTTAACAAACACAGTTCATCTGCTCTCCTGAGAGGAAGTGTACTTCTATTTAAACTGCACTTACTATTGCCAATTGTGAATCTGTGCTAGTATATACTGTTACATGAAATTTTCTACAAATATTTAACCTTTTGCTTTTTTGTGATGTATTTCTTCATTTTAGGATATTTGTACATGAGCACACTACATTGTTCAAACACTTAAGTCAAAACTAGAGGGCATAGCCATCTCAGAATCAAAATGAACTGAGGTGGAATGTAAACAAGGTGGAAGTAGAATTATAAGTACAAGTAAATATGCTGGTCTCACTTGGGAAATTCATTTTCAGTCCAACCCTGAGAGTCCTTTGAATAAGGGAACAGAAGCAGTCATGGCTTCTTCAAGATGCATTTGTTCCAGAAAGCAAATGATTCAGTGACCGAACTATTCAGTCAAGTGTGTGATGGCATTTGCATCCCTTTAATTATATTCACATTGGATATGGCATGCAGTCAGTGCCAGTTCCAAATTTTCTTGGGCAAGGCAGCCTTAATGGGGACTTATCTTCAGAGGGTCTGCTTTCGCACCACCATCAACAGCTGCTCCTTCACTCTTTCTCATCACTGCATATGCTTGCTTGACAGGAAGGGAGTCAAGGAGCAAGAGGGCAGTGGCAGTTTCTACTCCTCTTTCTTACCACCATCACTGAGCCAGAGTGACACAGCTGAAAAAAAAATTACAGTGGTTAAAAACAACTCTACTCTGCTCCTGTCAGTGGAGTCTCTTGGAGGCTAAGTCCTCAGTAGGTGCCCAGCTGTGTTTATCCATCCCAGGTGGAGCTGCAACTCTTTGCCCCCTCCACTATGGTCCAGACCCAGATCTCTCCTTCCAGCCATGCTTGTGGCTAAAGAAATGCAAACAATGTATGGATTTAATGCATTGTTTGGCTAAGTTTCAAAGTAAAAGTGCTTCCAATGACTTTAGTGTATTGCATTCAATGGACTTATTCCAGGGAAAACTGCTTGCCTCTCTTCCTATTGCCAGTTGTACAACTTCGTTTTAAACTGGCAGATCAACAACAAAAACTGGCATGATTGTGTGGAATATTTCTAGATGCTGAATGATACAAAGATAAATATTCTCATTATTTTGATCGCTTGTTTGGACAAGGAAGTATTTGTATTTGTATCTTGTGCTGGTTGCAATGAACTTGATACAAGGACTATTTTCATATGGGACTGACTGTCTCAAAAATATCACAAGTTGACAAGATGACCCAATAGACATCCATTCTATACCATATCATGTAATGACCTGCAGCAGATCCTCGTTGCACCTGATGAAATGGTCTGTGTCCACAAAAGCTTACACCCTAATTGATTTATTAGTATTTAGTCTCATGCAACTCTTCATTTTCAGGTTCAAGAAAGATTGGTCAGTTCAATTTCTGTGTAATATTACTAAACTCATGCAACTGAGACAGAAGAGGGATAACCTGCAGATATTATTGTGTGTCTTTTGTAATCTAAGAATTTCCTACAACTGTGCTTTCTTTCTGTGTTATTTACCTTTGTCTCTGTGCTTTGTGTGGTATTTCATTTGCAGAAAGCAATTTCCTTTTCTTCCATGTAGCTTTGTTGACAAAAGTGGATTCTGAGAAGCCACTGAGGCAGTGACTGTAGTGGTAAAAGCACAAGAGGACTCTGACTTTTCTTCACCATGGAAGCCAGTGGCAGCACTACAGACAGGATTAAACCTGCCAGACCCAATCTTAGTCAACAAGATAGGGCAGGCAAGGCAAGGAGAGGCTGCCTCCCCAAAAGCTGCAAAAGGAACATGTTGTGAAATGGTGAGGAAATGACCTTTTGCATTGCCATTACGGCTCCTTAAAAAAAAAAAAAAAAAAAAGAGTAAAATAAAATGGGATAAAAGATCTGCTGCTTCTATTTCAAATATATGCATTAATACTATCCATGTATCTAAATAAGCATCCAGGAAAATTCTTCCAGAACTGAAACAATACACAAAGCCAGTTATATGGGCTTCTCACTGTCAATTTGGTCCTGTTTAACTTCAAAACCTATCCCAAGTGGGTTCAAGATTCCCAAGTAAGTAACCAAGCTAAATCAGAGCAGCAAACTTTACAACTGATGCAAAGTTCATGCAGGTCATTTAAAATGGTACCAACAATTAGCTTTCTGACAGGCAAAGTGACCCTCTGGCTCCTAGACGGTGTCCTGAGAGCTGGGTATCTGTGCTTAGATCACCCTCCTAAAAAGAAGTACACTGGCTGCTTCTCCAAGATACCCCAGCTCTCCGGATATCTTTCCCGCTCCGGTGTGCCAGCAAGGGGGCTAAAATCGGTTGTCCGGGTGCTTTGCAAAAGTCAAAAGCGCATAGGCCCCCCTCTTTTCGTGGCTTCCTCCACGCTGCATAGGATGCCTACAGTCCTACCAGGTCAGATAACGACGGGCACCCCGCTGGGACTGTGCCCGGAAAGAACATTAACTCCCAAATCCAATCAATTTGGGGGGGCCGCAATCAGAGAGGGCTGCTTAAGACCACGTAGGGCCAGAGATTAACATTACGCGGCTCTACCCCTGCGGGCGTTAGGGTATGCCCTAAACTCTGCAATCACGGTCTGCTCGCTGGGCCAACAGCCATCATTTCGTGGCACAGGGAACGCAGCGACTCTCGTCCGGGCAGCAGCTCCTTCCTTGTGAACGCAGCCAGGCCCCACCCCGGCGGGGGAACCTTGTCCCTTTCCGCCCTTCGGGACGCGTATCTCTTATTAGGAAGGGCCACGGCCTCCTAGCCAGGCACGGGCGACGGCTTGGCGGAACCACCTCGTGGCTGCCCTTGCACCGGGGAGGTCCTGCTCCTTGCTCGCGCGGTGACCTTTCTCTTCCGCTCGCCCTCTACCCGGCCGGCAGAAGCAGCCCCGTAATCCAACGCTTAAGCAAGCGACCAAGCAAGCCATGGCCACGGCCGCCGGCCCCGAGGAGGCTCTTTCCCTTTCCCTGAAGCTCCGCAGCATGTTTTACATCCTCACCCCCAATGAGACCTCCTTCTGCGCCGTCCAGGAGGTACCTGATTACGTGAACAAGGTGAGAGTGCGCCACGAACCCGCCCACCCCCCATGCGCGCTGGGGGCTTTCTCGCGCTCCCAGCCCCTTCGGGAGTTGACGGCACGCGAGTTCAGGCAGAAAAGTCCTTCAGTTCCCAGCATGCCCCAGCTAACATGGCTGGCTGGGGCATGCTGGAAGTTGTAGGATTTCTTGCCAACCTTGCACTAGACATTTATAAACGGTGCAGGCCTACCGGGGGGACTACGCCGGGTGTGGAAGGCTTTTTATTCTGTCTAAACTTGCACAGTAGCGCTCCTTTAGAGCTTAGGCATGCTTCATGCGACCATCTCAGTTGAAGGGGCTTGCTCTGCAAGCAGTGTGCGCAGGATTAATTATGAACATTTACAGTGTTTGTCCAAGATATATTTCCCATTATTAAAATACGCAGATAAGAAATTATTGGGAAACCAATGTAAATATATATGCATGGAAGCCTAAATAATTCTTGGAAGATGAAGGCGAATGTCTATAATAGTGCTGACTGCCTATCTAATAGATGTTGTATTTCCACCTCGTATAGGCAACTCCTTTGTTTCTTACCCTGATTCTTCTGGAGTTTGTTGTTAAGTGGGGTCAGAAAGGACATGCATCAGCTCAGGACAGCATAGCATCCCTCTCTGCAGGTGTCCTGTCTCAACTTCCAGAGTAAGTCCAGGCAGTTGTATGTCTTGGATTATTTGGTTTATTCAGGGTTGGTGGGAAAAGATTTCCAATGATAAAGTTTGCATGTAGGAGTATTTATAAACTTACACTAATGAGAAAAATATATTGAGACATGTGGCTAATAATATATATGCAGCTTTAGCAGGATCTAGTTTTCCACATCCACATTCAGACTGTCTACAGAGCTTGTCTCTTTTTTCTGTCAAAATAGTAGAAATCACTGGAACTCATTGGCAGCAGGTTGAAGACAAACAAATGGAAGTATTTCTTTACAGAGTAAGAACTGGCCAAGCAAAGTGATTCCTTGGTTTAATGCATTCATGTGGGATCCTAAAATATGTTCATGTCAGGAAATTTATGAAGCAAACTTTCCCATTCTCCTTCTTCCCCCACAACCATCTGTGACCCCCCGCCCAAAAAAAACCCCTTTCTGGATGGTGAAAGGGGTCCATCGATATGAGATGCAGCTTGGGCTGCAGGGGGCAAAGAGGATGAGATGAAAAAATGGAAAAGTTTCCTTCTGTGAACTTCATTGCTGCTGCAATCCAGTATATGCTTATCTGGCAAAAAGTTGCACTGCACCAAATGTTACTTACTTCTGAATAAGTAGGCATGTATAGCATTGTGCCACAAATTTATCTTTGTTTCCAAACCAACAACTCAGTTGAATACTGAGACAGCAAAATTAAAATTTGGTACACACATTCAGGACGCAATCGTGTTTCAAGCACATCCTCTACAAGTAACGAGTCACGGTTGGTTTCTGTGTCATCCAAAACTAGACTGCTTCCAACAGAGTGTCTTATTTTTCACAAATGTGCTACCCTGACAACCTTTGGCTTGTCCTATGGATTATTTAACGCACAATAGCTTGTTGTGTTATCTGAACCAGAGGAAGCAATTTTATTATGGGTTGTGGAGATTAATTAGTGAGCTATTTGGCAAGAGTGACCACAAGCTTGCTGCTTCTTATGAGTCTTGCTGCTGCCAATGGCAGCTCCTCCACTGATGCCCATGTGGTACTTTCAGGTGACGGCCATTGGTTCGCTAACCATTTTTCACCTTTGTTTTGGTCCTAAATAAGTGCAACCTTATAGCAACTAGATATGAGAAGGTGGTATAGTCGATTTTCTTGTCTGTTTCAGCTGTCAAAGGGAACAGTAGAGTTGGTAGGTAACGTACAAGGAAAGTGATAAGTTGAGACTACGTATAAACTAAGTTGTGTGCAGTTGCCAGGGTGTAATTGCCTAGTTGAAAAGCACTGGCAAAGAGGCAAATGTGGCCAAAAAGGTGCACTAAAAGTGGGTGGGCAGACAGTTAGCAGTTAGTGCAATTTCCTGAATTTTAAGTGTTGAACTGACACCTTAGTGCTTTCCACTTTTTCAACACCTTCCCAAGTTTCCAGGTAGTTCAGAAGGGGGAGCAAATCAGCAAGGCCTATCCAACATCGTGCTTTGCTAGTTAGTTAATTGAATTCATGACTATGATGCGTGGTAATAGCCATTAATTCGGGTCACTGTTAAAAAAAATGGGAAAACCATGAAAGATAGGTCTGTCATTAACTGACACAGTAGATAGAAATAGAATATCAGTGTTTAAACCTATTACGTGAGTAAAGTGAGACCTTTGGTTTAACTGAATAGCATGACATTGTATTGTGTAAGTTTCTCACTTTGTTTGTCTGTAATTATTATTTTTATTATTATTATTATTATTATTATTATTAACATTTCTATGCCGCCCCTTGCCGAAACCTCGGGGCGGCTTACAACATGATAAAATACATTGAAATACAATAGTACATAATAAAATTACCATTAAATATAACAATACAGAAAATACATTGATTTACAAATACAAAATTAAAATTATCAGTATAAAATAAAAATATAGGAGGAGAAAGAGAAGGAAGAAGAAGTTGCCCAGGCCAGATCATATGTTTTAACAATTGAAATGATGTTTAAATAAAAAGGTCTTTACCTGGCACCGAAAAACCAGTAACGACGGTGCCAGCAGTAACTCCTTTGAACTTTGAAAGATTGGAGTACAATTTGGTGTGTTAAGGGCACTATTCTACACTTGAAGCTGAGAAGGAAAGTTGTGGTTTACAGTCAGGCTAACATTTTACATTTCAAGCATGAGATTTCAACCCTGTATCTATTTTCCGCAGGCTAGGAGTGTCAGTGGTTCTGAAAATGGTTTATTAGTTCTACCTCTCATTACAAGAGAGAGAAATTGGGATGACCATTTTTAATTATGTTCTTTTTGCAAACTTCCCTGTGACAACTGACAGTCCATTATTAGAGTGATGGACTGGATGGACTTCTTGACATGTTTAAGTAAGATAGTTATAATATTTGGATGCCCTACAACTGACCTTAGGTATGCAACGGCATCAAAATGCATTACAGCTGGCTATGCAGTTACTGTATGATGCATAACTTTTTTATTGCTTTGTCTTATAGTCCGATTTTAGTGTGTTGTGCACACACTGTTTCTGCTTGCTTCATTATGAGCTGGAAATGTATCTGGCAATGAGACAAAGTAATTACAATAGATGATTGCTTTGGTGTGAGGGCAACTGTAACAGTATTTGCTCAGGACTGATTTTGCATGGCTGAATCGAATCCGACACTGTTGCAGTGTCTTCATCGTATTTTTTTCATCAAGCTGGAATGGAACCTGTGAGTCCCAAATCTATTTTTTAAAGTTTAGATTTTTTAGAGTTTCTAGGATTCTACACTGTTAGAAAGACTCCACAGTCCGATCTCCCTGATTTAGACATTTGCTCTAGACACAAGGAGAGTGAATACGAGGAAAGAGAGAAGAGAGCTAGTATCCTCATTCTTTTTTCTCTTTTCATATATGGGTGTAAGTAAACTTCTGGACAATTGCTTAGGACTCTAGTTTATCTGTAGTTTACTGACAAACTATGGTTTGTCTTTGGACTCCAAATCAGAGCTTGATCTTTGTTTGCAATGATTGTCTTGAAAGCAATCACACACCATAGTTTTAAGAAATTGTAAATGAAAAATTCATTTCACTTCTACTAGTTCCAAAGGAGTTAACCAAGTGTTATTCCATGCTTTAAATGCCTCATGAGCTGCAGAAAAACAACTAAACAGGGTCAATGATTAAAAATACCTTTTGCTGTCTCCCAAAAAACATATAGTTATTTCTAGTAGAATTTCAGTCAGCTGCTTTACAGCAAATACTAAAGAAATCTAACAGAAACTGTTAAAATAATACTTCAGCACAGCTCACTGTATCAAGGGAAATTGTGGTGTAAATCATTAACAGCTGAGGGTTAGATTAATGCACTATTGATGGTATCCTCTCCTAGGGACTAATTTTCATTTTTCAGCTAGCAGCAGAAGTTTGCCACTTCCTTTGAAAGCTTGTGATTAGTATTAAAATGGTGTGTTGCAATACATCAATCCTGTAGCTAGCAGATCTTCAGACATATAATAAGAAAGGTCTTTTTAGGTTCAGTGGAAGAATGTGCAGTCTTGGAGTTTGAGCATGGAGAATAATGTTTAAAATCTCCTTAAACAGTGGAACTATTGAACACTCTAAAAAGGAAGGAATATTTGGGTTGTTGCAAGTATGAAACACTTCCTAGTAGACCCTATGTCAAATATGCTGCGACTTACTTCCAAGTAAACATTTATAGGTGTGTATTATTCATATGTCATTGTAAATAGAATCAAGAAGCATTGTCAATTGCTCTCAACAATATAAGAGATATTAAGATCGTCAGCATATTTGACATATGCTCCGGGAACCTTCTTTGAAAGAGGTCAGGAGGCAGAGTACTCGGAGGAGAGCCTTCTCTGCAGTGGTGTCCTGACTGTGGAATGCGCTCCTTAGAGAGGTCTGCCTGGTGCCGTCATTTATGCTTTTCGGCATCAGGTCAAGACCTTTTTATTTGACCAGTATTTTAACATATAGTAATTTTAATTGTATTAGATTCATTTAATTTATTTTAAATAGATTAGTTTTATGCTCAGTGTGGAACAGTTAACTTATTTTATTGCAGATTGAAATAATGTTGTACGCCATCAGTGATGGACGGCCTACAAATTTTCTAAATAAATAAGTAAATAAATAAAAATTGCAGCTCTCAGTGGCTGTTGCTAGCATAGTAATGGTAAGGGATTATGAGAGCTACAGGCCAGCAACATCTGGAGGGTCACACTTTTCCAAACCCCCTATAGACACTTACCTGAAATCATGTCTTATGGAATTAAGTGGGACTTACTTTTCGGAAGGCACATTATTGTCCTCTATATTTATACCCCACTTGTTTTCTTTTCAAAGAATTCAAGGTGGCTTATTCTGAATTTTCCTCCTGCTGCTGTTAATCTTATCCCCACAACAATAAACCTGTGAGGTAGGTTGTGCTGAGGCCTAAGTCACCCAGTGAGCTCAATGACTGAGTGGGGACTGCAACCCAGATTTCCTGAGTTTTAGTCCCACACTTTTAACCACTACACTTCAGACAAATCAATCTGGTCTTAGCATATTGCTCACCATATAACACAGAAACTCTTATGTGTATATATTATCAAGGGCTTCCTTAAACAATATTCAGATTTAATGCTGGAAAAAAAGAGTATTTTAGGCACCCACACCAGATTTTACTACTCTATGTTCTAGTTTATACATAGTTTTCACATTTTCAGTTTTAGAACCCAGAATGGTTTCTTTCAGGCTGTTCAACTACAATGGGATATGTCTTCCACATGAACATTGGGTGAAACGTACTTACAGTGTAGTGACATTTGAGGTGCTGGTAATGGACATGAACCTCACTTTTTAGCTGGATCATAGGAAGACGGATGCCATCATCCCCCCTGCCCCGCAATTTTCTGTACTATGTGGCTTATTGTTTTGTGCAACACTGCCCAGACAGAAGAGAGCAACCACTGGATATGCATCTGTCTTTTTCCACACTGTCCTTCAGGGGAAAGAAGAGGGAG